GGAGGAGCGAAGGATGGGAGAGCCAAGAGAAAGGAACGGAGGGAAGGGGAGATCCACAGATAGAAAGAGGGGAAGAACAGAATTTGGTTCCCGATTTCTTTCCAAGAGGACGCCGGAGTAGGCAGCCGCCGGCAAGTGCTCTTCAAGAGCCTTGTGCTTTTTGTAGTTTTTTGTTGTTTTTGTCTTTTGTTTTATCACATCGTGTTGTTGTTGCGTCGTGTGGACCTGATGTGGACTGTTTTCAGCATTTTTGGCCACGACATTCGTCAAAGAAGAAGAATCTGTACTTGGTGTTTGCGCCTTCTTGGCAGCACACGTGCACCAGCACAGATTTTGATTGGGAGAAATGTCGGAGCCATTTGACTGTCGTTGATCCCCGGGGCGCTTGTGTCTTGCGCCTGAAGTATGCAGCATTTTCACAGCCCCGCTTTGTTCAGCGAAAAGTACGGTGCTGGTGGTCTGCGGCTGGATGGATGCATGGATTGAGGAGCCGACGATGAGAAGAAAGGAGCGTCAGCGCAGAGCGCCGATGCGCATGGGGAACCTGGAGTCGCGGCTTGAAATTGAAGCGGATTTACATGTGAAAGATGTGAGCCACTCTCTTTTTTTGTCAATGGACGCTACAGCTTCTTGTTGCTTTCAAGCTTAGCTTGTTGCAGACGTGTGCATATTTTCAGCATGACGTCTTTGATCCACTGGTGAAAAGGACACTTTGATTTGCTCCTCTTTCGTCTATAACTGCGTCAAACAACAAAGTGAATGGAGGAAAAGTGGTTAAGATGGCACGACTGTCTGTTTTATGTGTTGTATTATTTTTTTCATGATATGTTAAGTGTTCTTTTAATGGCGGCACGGGCACCCGCAGCGGCTCCTCTTGTTGTCTATTTAAGAGGGAGGAAACTTCATACAGCACATTTGACAATAAAGTTGTACTTAACTTGACTTAAACAGGGCAACAACATGTTACCTGCTTGCTTTGTGCAAAACCAAAAACAACCCCCCCACCCAAAAAAAATTAAAATGAGTTTTGACTAAAATATGTTATTCCATCCCTGGTCAGCTGTGTTCAATATAAAGGAATATTTTTTTGTTTTGTTTTTTTTAAACTGACATAAAACATGACAAAGACTAAGTGATAATGGAAGTCTTTAGATTTTAAATTGATATATTTTTTAAAAAATGTTACATTTATTCATACTAGTATTCAAAAGGGTGAGAGGAAGCCTCTCACAATATAATCACTAGTCACATATTTGGATACACTTGCACCATATAATGGTAACCAATGCAGGCGCTCGGCAGAAAAAAAAAAATTCGACCTTCAAAAATTATGAACAATATTCTTAATGTACTGTAAATAAAACATTAACAGTCTCCTTAAAAAGCACATTTTTAAAAATACAGTCATTGTATGCTATGTGGGTGGGACAACTGGTTAGCACACAGGCCTCACAGTGCAGAGGTGCAGGGTTTGATTTCGGCTCTGGTCTTCCTGTGTGGAGTTTGCAGGTTCTCCCCTATAGCACATAGGATTTCCTCCCATATTCCCATAACATGCAGGGTAGGTTAATTGAACACTCAATATTGTCCTTAAGTGTAGGGCATGGAGCAACACCATTTCTGACCGTGTTAACGTTTTTCGTGGGTTTCGTGTTAAAGATGTGGTTTGAAGGTGTATTGTATAAATAACCTGTAAAACTTAAACTGTTTCGTTTAAGTATAATCAAGAAGTCATGTTTTTCATTTTTTTGTAAACCTTAATTTGTGTTCGAGAAAATAAAGAAAATCCTTTCTTTGGGATCAACTATGGCGGCCTCGTGTTTTCGTTGTCGCCGTTGCTGAAAGGAAAGACCCGTCGAGGAAAGGCACAATTTGGGAACCTACATGCCCTGCTGACGTAGCGCCAAAAAGTCAGTAAGTTGCCGCTACAATTATTGATGGTAATGCACTGGAAATTGAAAGGGCGTTCTTCATGGAGAGATATATACTGCATGACACCGGAAAGCAAATCTGCCATCATTGCAAAGTGTGATACAGACGTTGCACTTTCAAGTCACTGTCTTGTGAAGTCTCATTATTTTCTACCTGTTATAATTATGGTTGTTTTGTTTCTTCCCAAGCAGGTGGCAGTGGAGGGCTCTCCCTCCCGTTCCTCACCTATTCCTCGTCTTGTCATTATCTGTCACCTGTTGTAAGAAACTGTCAATCCATCACGAGTTGTCGAATAATTCCCCTCGCTCATGTCCAAGTGCTTATTTTATAGACCTTCGTCATTCTTGATCTTGTTCCTCGTCCTGTTTGTATTTTGGTTTGTTTGGACTGTTATCCTCGGTGCATTTGTGTTTTATTCATTGATTGACTTTTCCTTGTCATTTTTTTGGATTGTGATATTTCGTTATTTATATCTCTTGCCTTTTGCAAGCTCTTTTTGTTCATAGCATTACTTAGTGCTGGGTTGTTCCAGCGATTTGTGTTGCACTTTGTCGGTCTCGCGACTATATTTTGTACTCGATCTTATCCTTGTCTGCGTTTGTGGGATCCGCTGCTGTTCCATAACTGTAACAGTCACTACACACATACAATAATTTGGAACGAGATCACAGATACTACAGTGTTCTTTTTAGAATGTACAAGGAAAGCATTGGGAAAGATAAGCATTATGTGCATCACATATAGGATCCTACTCTCCGACCTGCACAAGTTGATCGATAGACAAGTGATAAACTGAAAATGCAATATTCTTTCACAAAGACTGAGGATGCTGCACAGTGAACAGAAAAACATATCTTTGGTTGAAGAAGCTGTCTAAAAGACATTGATTCATGGAACAAAGAAACATAATCATAGTTACAAAGTGTAACACTGGCTGCAATGGCAAAACATCTTTGGTGGAAGGAACTGTTTGTCCTTTTTCTTACAGTATATGAATGCTAATTAGTGTTAATCCGAGCCTTCTTACTTGTTTTATGCGGTTGGCAGAATATGCTCATTGCCCGCTCTGATTTTAGCAACTTAGTATCTTGTCATTACTGAGACACGTGAGTTCTAATGAGCAGAATTGCTATCTGGAAGATTGCACTTTTTTTTTCACCACAGCGAAAGCACATTAGATCCAGACAGCTCATTTCCATTCTCCCTGTCATCTCTCTAGAAATGACGTGCAGTGCTTGAAACGGTTTATTTCCAAATTCAGACCTCCTCCGCGGCAGCCATCGGCTTCAATTACCATTTTTTTTCCTGAGCGAAGCCATCAGGCAGCCTGACACTGAGGTCCAACCTAATTCCCACCTTCTCCAAAGTCAAGAGCATAATGTGCAGATAAAAAAGGTGGAAAATAGCTTGCCGCTTATTAGCATGCAGTGCCTGCCTGTTCATTTGCTTGCTGCGAATGAAAGTTCTGACACTCAGCGCCTTGTGCAATGCGAGAACAGTCCTCTTCAGACTGCCTCGTGTCCTTACTGCTGCGGAAAGGTCACCGGCAGAGGTGCGCGCTCACCAACCTGGCTCGCTGCTCTTCTCCGTCCCACCGGGGAGAAGGGTTAGTCGAGGGTATTGATTCAGGGAGAACCTCATTACGTGCTGAATCAACATATTATTGCCATGTTTCACCCAGCCGAATTGTTTACAAGTGTCTTTAGCACGGGCAAAAGCCTGCCCTCGTGCTGTTGCATTCATTTGAGCCTGACCTGGGTGATTATGTGTTATCCGATATGCTGCTCGCTGGCTTGGCCCAATGAGCAGGGCCAGTGGCCTGCATTGGCCTGGGCCTATTACAATCTCTTGCTTTTTCTCTCCCCCTGGATCACTTCATCTCTCTGCCAGCGCTCCCTGTGAATGTCTGACGATGTGTAAATTGTTTTCACCTGCACTGCAGACAGATGGAAGCAGTGACTCTGTCGTGATTTCCCATGCATGAGCTGTCTAATCAGTCCAAGAGTAACACGATTCCCTTGCTCCTTGCTGGGAAAAAAAAAGTGAGCTTTTGGGAGCATGCTCACATACATAACCTCATCACTCACATTCTGCAATCAATATGCATGATGCGCTGTGGGGATATTGGTGCGGCGGTGGTGGCGACAGAGTTCATTATATGAGTTCGCCTTACAACACTGTGATGGCTTAATACAGAGGAGAGCGCCTGGACCTGAGCTGATCCTTGCCTCTACTCTTTCCATTTTCATTTCAAACTGAAGGATAATTTGACCTGGAAGACTAAACCCATATAAGCGCAATGACATCCAGCGGCAGTGTCAACCGAGTGTGACCCTTGAAAGAGACGGGAGAGGATGCCCCTCATGCAAACAAACAAACAAAGTGGTCCCCCCGATACCGTAATATGGATGTGATGTACCCTTTGGGCCTTTTCTCAAGAATTGGGTCAAATGGGCCGTCCAGGCCCTTTGGGTGCAGGGAAAGGTGCTCATATAATGAGCTGTTTATCCTTGGCTGCATGTACTCGACAGAAAAATCAGGGGTTGGGTGTAATTTATCGTATCGTATGGACATCGCCTGTTTGCCTCCGACAAACTAGCTATCGAGCTAGCTAACTAGCAGGCTGCTAAAATATCTTTCAGCGTGCTGAAACCGACTTGGAATTATTGAATTTGGGGATTTATAAAACAAAAAATTTTCTCGCGGAACCTTTTACGTAGCATTTGTCGTTAGGTGCCTCTCTGTTGAGTTTATTGTAATATTTCGCGAAGTCAGTTAAGATGGTGCCAGTTCCTCCACTGATAGGTTTAGCTTTGGCTGTATGATAGCCAGACAACTGAAGAGTGTACTATTGTGACACACACAGCCAAGATTCAATCTGGCGCCTCCGCCTCGCCCCACGTGACCCACATGCTTGTGGCGAAGGGCTTCTGGGAAGTGGTGCTCATGGCAACAATTGTAAATATTAACAGCTCTCCTCCTGCGCTTTGCAGCTCTCCTTCAACAGCAAAGGAAGTGAAATGGCCTTCATGTCTTGCGTGGAGGACAGATATTTAGAGCAGTTAACATCCGTTCAACAGACCATCCCTCAACGGTAAGGAGGCTTTCCTTGTTTACGACATCACCTGTTTGCCTCCGACAAACTTGCTATCGAGCTAGCTAACTAGCAGGCTGCTAAGATATCTTTCAGCGTGCTGAAACCGACTTGGAATGATAGAATTTGGGGATTTATAAAACAAAAAATTATCTCGCGGAGACACAAAAAAATGCCTCGTGGTGAGGCACTGCACGAATCCATGACCCCGAGAGCTATGTCGGCAGGAGTCCCATACTCCTGGCAGGGTCACCCATGCCGAACAGGTCGAAGGGTAGAGGCCACACAAAGAGTGATCCCAAACCGGCACCTGGAGGCAGGCACAGGCGGAGTCCAACAGACCGGACTACCGGCAGCCCCCTGCAACTCCTGCCAGATGAAGGTCGTCATGGGTACCCTCATGCCACTGGAAGCTCACCTGGTAGGCGTGAAGATGGTGGGAGTGAGGACTGTGTGCCCATACCCTCACCTTAATCCCTACCTTTGCGCAAGCTTCTTGTGCTAACCCCACACCCAATCCCACACCCTGTGGCTGGGAGTGCCTAGCCAAACCCATGCACACAGGCGGCAATGGAGTGATGGTCGTTGACACTGCGGGATGGAGCAGCGCATCTACTCGGCAGCTTCCATTGCGACTGAGCAGTTCGACACTGCTCACCCCTGTGATGGGGCGGGACCTAGAAAAAGTGGTCTAAAAATTGTCTGCCCTCCGCACTCCAAGGTCAAGGTCAAGGTCATCTTTATTGTCAAATATGCTTTATGTATGACATGCAGCATAGATGAAATTTCTTCGGACGGTAAACCACAATCGTCGGAGCATCTCCCCTTGCATCCCCCCTTGCGGTCGAAACGACAAAAATACGAAATAGAAAAAAATCTACGCCTAGCTTCATGGAACGTCCGCACACTGTTGGACCTGACTGAAACTCCTGACAGGCCCCACTGGAGGACAGCACTTGTGGCCACAGAGCTTGCGAGGTATAACATCGACATCGCAGCTCTCAGCGAGACCAGACTACATGGAGGGCTCATAGACATGGGAGATTTCAATCCAAGAGTGGGCACGGAACATCTGGTATGGAGTAAAGTTATTGGCCAGCACGGAGTGGAAAAAATGAACATCAACGGCCTTTGGCTCCTCTCCCTCTGTACAGAACATCAGTTGGTCATCACGAACACCATCTTCCAAACGAAGAACAGGTTTAAGACCACCTGGCAGCACCCCCGCTCCAAACACTGGCATCTCCTGGACTATGTGATTGTCCGTCAAACGGACATACAGGATGTCCTCATCACCTGTGTCATGTGCGGAGCTGAGTGTTCGACTGACCACCTCATGGTCAGATCTAAACTCCTGATCAGCATTCAACCCCGTCGTCCAACGACAGCTCCCAACAAAAGGCTCAACTATGCAGCACTGAACAAACCCACCACAAAAGCCAACCTTTGGTGCTTCCTTGCTGAAAACCTTGACAAGATCCCGGAGGAATCAGTTGACTGGCCAGCTCTGCGCCAGGCTATCCATAGTAGAGCCTCGAAGGTGCTTGGCCAGTTAAGGAGACGCTACCAGGATTGGTTTGATTGCAACTCAACCCAGATATATACACTTCTAAAAGCAAAGCATGAGGCCCATAAAGCTCTCCTGTCCTGCCCTACATCTCTCACCCGGGAAGCCACCTTTACTGCAGCTAGAACAGTGACCCAGCGAGCACTCCGTATCATGGAGGACACCTGGTGGGTGCAGAAGGCACATGAGATCCAAAACTTGGCAGACTCTAACAACACCCAGGGCTTCTACAATGCCATCAAAGCACTGTATGGTCCCAAGAAGCGGGCAATTGCTCCAGTCCGATCAGCTGATGGCTCTGCACTCCTCAAAGACCACCATGAGATCCTTGCCCTTCTAACCATCCAATGTATGTGTGTGTGTGTGTGTGTGTGTGTGTGTGTGTGTGTTTCTCGTTTTCGTGTGCTTGTGGGAACATAAAATTGTTTACACAGTCACGTCCTGGGGACCAGTTGCGGTATGGGGACAAAAAAAGCAGGTCCCCATGAAAAAAACATAAAAAGCATCACAAGGGCTGTTCTGAATGTGCCTGTGAGGTTTTTAGCAAAGGCCCATAAGTCACCATTTTTACTGATTGTGTGAGTGTGAATGGTGCTCAGCAGCCCCCCCATATGGTTTTTCGGTGCTATTGCACTCACTGCTCCACACACACACTTTGCATATGCCCCGCCCATTTGGTCCCCAAATGGAAGGATTTTTACAAGTGGGAGGGGGTCATCATTCAATTAGTGTCATCAGAATAAGCCTGCAAAGCTCGAAGATGGCAGCACAAGAAGCAAAAGTAAAATGCAAGGTAAATAAGTGTCTATGAATTAACAAGTTACTTATTTGTGCAATGTTACAAATGTACATAATAAAATAAGAACATTGTCACTATTCTCGATGAACTAACAAGCATCGCGGACGACACTGTATTAACACCTACTACCCTATTGTAGGCCAGGACATCCCCCAGTGCTTTATTACCCTAATTGGGGACTGAAAATACAGTAATTATGGTTTCTACATGTACAACTAGGCAAAGTCTCCTCCCTTCTAAAGACAAATGTATTATAAACATTGAAGCTCGGGGTATTTTTTTTTTTTTTGGATGCACGCATTTCAGACTGGAATGAGAGTCGGAGGCTAGGCTTGCCACAGCAGTCACCCGACCCGACGGTCGTGGCTGAGTCTCGGGGCAAATGGCCGAGTCTCGGGGCTAACGGCTAGGACAACTGAGTGTGTTGACGAACGGCTAACGGCTAGGACAACTGAGTGTGTTGACGAACGAGCGGTGACTATTCGTTTTTAACTTTTTTTTTACCGCAGTTTCAAAATCCATTACACGCTAGCGCCACTAACAAAACCGGCATGGATTTTTGTCGAGTATGGCAAATAGCGTAGGTGAGGGAGACAAGCTCAACCAAACGTGAGCTGCCGAGATCAGCGACGGCTAGGCTAAAGCTAAATGCTAAACATTCAAACGCCACTGCTGAGTCTCTCTGCTCTTTCTACCCATCATTGACAATGATGGAGTTTATGAACAATTTAAAAGTTGAAGTATTTATGTATCGGTTTCGTAAAGTGAGATGGGGCAGTGATAATCTAATACATTGAAGGCACGCACACTGTTTGTGAAACAGTAAAATTTCTAATTGTGTGAAATTCCAGAATGAAAGAATATGAAATAAATATATAAAGAACAATTCCTGCACTATGTTCCTTAGTTCTGTCAATAATTTGTACATATTTAATATTGTTAAAGATAGGCTCCAGCATGCCTGCAACCCTTGTGAGGATAAGTAGTTTAGAAAATGGATGGATGGATATTGTTTCAACACTAAAAAATTAAAGTACACTGACTGTTAATGTTGATATGGCGTTAATAAAAAGTATTAAAATATATTGTGCAATCTCTCACATATTTATTTAACCAGTCTATCAAAACTAGTGTTTTCCCATCAAATTGAAAACAGCAAAAGTTATTCCTATTTACAAGAGTAGAGAGAAACACTTATTTACAAATTACAGACCAATATTTTTCCGACAAAAATTCTACAACAACTATTTGCACACAAACTGTACAAATGTATTGCAAAACATAATCTTTTAAGCAAATATCAATACAGTTTCAGAGAGAAAAGAGCAACATCTATGGCAGTAATGGAAATTGTGGAAGAATCAATCAACCACTAGCCCATGGACTGGTCCCAAGTCGATCGCGAGGGGTAGAGGGGGGAATTTTTGCAAAGAGTATTTACAAAGAGTACCATCGGCAGAAGACAATTTGTTGCTGAGTGTCAGGGAGATATGATAAACGATGCAGAATACTAGCGCAGAAGATGAGTTTATCACCCATCATGTGCTGCGTTTATGTTTGCATTCAAGTGGAGAGGGAAACGTGGTGGTAAGACTTATTATCCACCTATTCTGCACCACCGTAGACCATATCAAAATATTGTGATAATGATCTCATGTTGTTCTTTTTCACATATTTGTTAAGCATTGATGCTTCACGAGAAGATGATTCATTTGGGTGACTAGTGAATGATGAACACAGGGGGCCAAACTGCCGGATGAAAAGGATTGATGTGGATGGTGTGCCACACCTATGTTTGTTTGCTTTGAATGACATTCAAGAGGGAGAAGAAATGACCTATGATTATGGTGGCGAAGACTGCTCATGGAGAACACAAGTATGTATACATTGCAGATTATACAGAATGGCTCTGTGTAATAAGAATGGAAGTAACTTTTGATTAAGTCAATTAGAATCAGAATAGTAGAATCTTACTGGAAATATTATGCATCTAATTTTCCGGTTTCCATCCACATTCCAAACACATGCATGGCAGGCGAATGGAATACTCTAAATTGCTCCTAGGTGTGAGTGTGAGCGTGAATAGGTTTCATCTATCTGTGCCCTGCGATTGGCTGGCAACCAGTTCAGAGTGTACCCCGCCTACTGTCCAAAGACGGCTGGGATAGGCTCCGGCATGCCCCCGACCTTTGAGGATAAAGTGATTAGAAAATAGATGGACGCATGGATCAAATTTATCAACTATAGCAGGTGTTTGGAATAGGTTGGTACACATTTCAAATAATTATTTTCTGCAACCTAAACTTATAGCAAGTGCTAATTCAATTTCTAAAATACTGTGGAAAGTTAAGTGCGACTTGATCAATGATTTATTTCTCATTCAGAAAAAAAATTTGTAATGGCTTTGTGAATGACCAAATTTACCAGAAGTTTTCCACCCGCCTGGCAAATTGCAAATCTGATCCAAGTTCTTCAGGGTTGCAAATAACAATCCTGCAGAACTTGCATTAGATGGGCTATTGGCCGAATGATCAATAATATTCCGAATCTCTATCATTGTTGACTGTCTTTCTAGATGACCAGCGTGACAGTCACAGGTGTGGTTTCCCAACCCTCTTCTCTGCCTCAGAGTCAGATGGATGATGATGATAGGCGTCCACTCAACACGCTTCAGGAGGTAGATACATTTTATTCACTTCCTTTTTTTGTGTTTTTGAATACCTCTCAGTAGTTTAAAGCAATGGTGCCCAGCCTGTCAATCGCAATCAACCGGTAGCCTGTCGACTGGTCACAAATCTATCGCGAT